TGTTGGTACAGGGCATTGAAGATGATAACAGTGGGTGGATTATATTCCTAAACTTAGTTACAGTGAATGAATACTCTATCATATTATTATCTGGGGAGTTTGAAGGATGGGTTGACAACAAAGTCATTCCTGTTCCTTGAGTGGTTTTTGATGTGTGCAAAAGGAAGGAAATTATCATCTGTTTTTTGTCCTGTCTTCTTCCGCTCATCATCGACCAGTTATGGCAGATGGCTGCCGCTCTCTGAAGCTGGTTTTACTGGAAGTTTCTTCATGTTTAAAGGGAATTTTTCATTCCCGTTGTTGCCATGTGCTTGATCATAGGGAGTCATCAGTTTCTCTTTATTATTGAAAGGTCTCTACCTTGCAATATGAAGCACCTTGGTTTGACTGTTTGACTGTGATTTGGCACTATATAAGTAAAGCTGAATTGAAGTGAAATAAAAATAAAGCAGTCGGTAGTGCATTACAACTGCTTGATTGTTGATATGTTAAAGAAGCCCCTAAATGAATGTCAGTACCTTATGTATTGACAGCAGGGCATTATAGAAGTTAGTGTTTTTCATGTCACTATTCAGTGGTTCAAATATGATTGGTGTAAAAGTAGTCAATACATTTCCCAGAATTTTAAACTTGGCTCTTTGGTGACTGTAACTGGTAGCAACACTAATGTGTTTTCTCTTTTCCTAATCTTTAGGTGTAGTTTCATCACTTATCATCACTTTAATGAGAAATAGTGCGGACAGTAGTAAAGTGGTGTTACAGTGTAAGTCTGCAGGCTGGTATCCAGAGCCTGAGCTGCTGTGGTTGGACGGTGAGGAAAACCTCCTCTCTGCTGGCCCTGCAGAGACCCTCAGAGGTCCTGATGACCTCTATACTGTCAGCAGCAGAGTGACTGTGGAGAAGAGACACAGCAACAACATCACCTGCAGAGTCCAACAGAGGAACACCAACAAGAGCAGAGAGACACACATACATGTTCCAGGTAAAAAACAAGTTATTTAGTTATATTTTTTTTGTTTGTTTGTAAAATTGCTGCAGGCTACTTGTTGATATTCTGTGTGTTCTCATTACAGGTGATTTATTTAATCCTCCATGTAGTTCTGCTGGTCACATCATCATAAGTGTTGTTGTGACAGTCCTGCTTATTCTGGCAGTTGTCTCTGTTGTCTGGAAATATTGTTCAAAACATCAAGGTACAGTTTTTTGACTAAGAATGAAAATAAAGTGACTAAGAAAATCATCAATTATTTATTAAAGAAAGACAAAATAATGTATTTCTGTCAATTTAAATGACTTTTTTTGTACAACAGGAAGAAACACAAAAATTTCCACTGATCACAGAGAGTGTCAGCCCCTCACTGAGAAAAAAAGAGAAGCACTGCATCTCACAGAAGATAGTAGTGACACTGTCGACTTTGATATGACACAAGAAAACCTCAATGATGTGTTTAAAGAAGGAGAGGAAGACAAATTTCATTCGATAATGGTGGTTCAATTTTTAATGAGTCATAAATGCGACTTAGAAAATGATATTTATGAACTGAAACTGAAACTGCTCGAGCTACAAAAACAGCATGATGAAAATCAGAGTCAGCTGGTAAACAATATTAAACAAATACAACAAAATGAAAAAACATCTGACAAAATAAATGAAGAAGAGGGCATTGAAACAGAAAATAATTTTGAAAAAATGAAGGAAAACCTTGAAAAAGAAATAGAGGAAAAGGAAACAGAAAGAAAATCAGTGTTGTATGGGGTTGATGTAATGACAGAGAAGAAGAAAGAGTTAGATGACACTTTATACAAAATTCATACACAGAAGGAGAAAATAGAGAAGAGGAGAAATGAAGTTCAAATACAGTTCCAATCAGGCAATTCAGAGGCATAAAAGTGAACAGTAAATAACACTCACATTATTCATTTAAGCATTCATGTATCACAGTTAAAAAAAGTAAGACATTTACAATCTCTAACACAGCACTACAAGATATATTACATGGATGAAACCAAATCCAAAACAGCAGCTATAGTAAAGACAGTATGAATTGTACTTATTTCACAGAAGAGAGCCTGTCATCACCAGTTTTAACACAACAGCAGAAATTGGTTGAGAGACCCTAGTGACACAATTTTAAATGAACTTTAGTTACCTCTAGTGGCCATATAATTTATGACAACTGCATATAAGGAGAAATGTGTTTCAGAGCCAAAAGACAGTTGCGCTCTTTCAGTCACAAAGAACATTACAGTGTTATTGTTCCATTTTAATAAAATTCTAATAATAATATAAACCTAATATTAGATCATTTTACACAATTGGTGCTATGTACCAGTCCATACATATACTTTTACTTTTTTTACTTTTTTTTTCTTGTTATTGTCTTTGTTCTTTTTTAATGTGCAAGTTATTTACATTTTATATAATATGAGATAATAATCAGATTTCTGACTGTAACTTGTCTTTCTAAATTCCCTACAAGTGTGTATTTCTTTTTTGTTTGGTGTAAAAATATTAAGCATGCCATTAAAATCTTTAAAATGTGTAAAAAAAAAAAAGAAAAAAAAAGAAGTACCTTATCAGGAGAATTAACTTTATTTGCAAAATACATTTAGTAATATACAATTACTATTAATTGTATACATTTATGGCAGTTATGATCTGTCACATGATGGCTTTAGGAAAGTATAGAGTAGACATGGGAACAGAGTCTAAACACAGGCTAAGATAAATACTAAGGGAGGAAGGACTACAATCACTAAGAACTAAAGAAAACCAAAACCATGATAACAATAATCAAATAATATAATTACAGAGTCTGAAACACAAATACTGGGTTGCAGACCCAGTACCGTGACATCTTCTCCTCTATTGTTCTTTCCCTCTCCTTCTGTTAACTCTCTTCCTAATTTCTCTTTCTTTCTCTTTGCTGTTCTCTGGTCCTGTAGCAGCGATACAGAAAGAAATAACATATTCAATAAAATTCTGTAAAACAACGTCAGCAATTCAGATGAGACTTTAAAATATGTAATTTTCCTTAAAAGGAACAGTCTTTGCTGAACTTCTTTGGTAGTGACATCAGCATGAGGCTCAAAACACAGTCAAAACACTTTGTGGTCAAGAACAGCCCCTAAATGCTTTTAAGTCTTCACAAACTCAATATCAGCAGCTTTAATAATAGTAAGGTGATGAACTGTAAGAAGATTTCCTGAAATCAATAATCATGTCTTTTGTTTTTGACACATTTAATGAAAGGAAGGACTCATCACACCAAGCCACAAAATCTTCTACAACCTGCCCATGGCCTGTCTCGTCCCCCACAAAAAGACTAACGATCACTGTGTCATCAGCAAACTTTAGGATGTGTCTGTTAGTAACACTGCTCATTCGTGTACAGAATTAAAAGAAGGGGTGAGAGATAGCAACCCAGCACATCAGAAAGTACATGGTTCACCTTCATGCATTGTGAGCTGTTATTGGAAAAGTCTAGCACCCAACTAATCAGACTAAGATCGAGCTTAAGGTGGTTATAAAGCCCATCAGCAAGTAAGGTGGGCTGAATTGTGTTGAATCTTGTCGAAAAGTCAGCAAATAATAATCTTGCATGAGTGTTAGGGCCCTCAAGATGCTTATACAAGAAATGCATGAGTGTGACAACAGCATCTCCCACACCTCTTCCTGCTGGAACAATGATAGCATTATTCCAAATCTTAGGTACTGTCTGTAACTCTAGGGAAAGTGAAAGAAATGTGATGAAAAATCCCACTCAACTGATCAGCACAAGTTTTCAGTACCTGCCCACAGATGTTGTCAGGTCCAGGACTCTTAATCTTAGTGTGTCTAAAGACATTAGCTACACCCCTCTCCTCAGTACAAAATGATGAGGGAGTGGTAGTCTTTTTTTTTTTAGTGTACTCGTCTCCATAAAACAATCAAGATTCTCAAAATAAAGATAAAAACTATTACAATTATCTGCCAAATGTTTGTCAGAGGTAAACCCATCTTAAGAAATGTTACAGTGACCCTTAGTTTGTAGCCCTTAGATGGTTTTCATACCACACCAAGCTCTGTTAAGGTAATTACTACTCATTTCTGCTTCAAAATTATTTTATATCTCATCTTAGTCTTCTTTATTACAGCTCTCACCTCCTTCCTTAATGTCCTCATAGTGGAAACGTCATACTCATTAAAAGGAATTTTCCTTTTAAGAATCAGATTCTTGATGTCTTTGGAGATCTGAAGAACATAGTGCAGGTCCAGCCACAGACTTATATTTCTCCTTAATTGATCCATAACAGAAATCCAGTGTTTTGTTATGCCTTGTAGGACAGGTGAAATATAATTTTTTTAATTATATTGTAGTCTGGGACGGTCTGCTTGCCTCCACCCCGGGGGGAAGGGTAACATTTC